AACTGCTGTGAGAATGTTGTTGTTGTTTATTCTACAACAATCAAGCTAAGAATGTTACACAATGATGGTTGGAACCACTCAGAATCTTAGGAGGGCTTTATTATCTTTATTTTTATATACTGTATTTATATTAGAAAAAAAAATAACGTCCGCTTATGCATGCTAAATTATTAATCTCCCATTGTCTTCATTACATTTAAAATAAACAGTTTTATACATAACCTGTGAAAGTTTACTAATTCAAAATAACTGGGTTTGTGCTTTTTCCACCAAGGTAGATCATTAACTTGGCCAGTTCCTTTCCATAATTTCATAAAAAGGAAGAATTAGGAGGATAATATATCTTGTTTCAAAAGGGGTGTGGTGGCTCAGTGGCTAAGTCGCTAAGCTTGTCGATAAGAAAGGTCGGCAGTTTGAATCCCTAGCACCACGTGATGGAGTGAGCTCCCATTACTTGTCCCAGCTTCTGCCAACCTAGCAGTTCAAAAGCATGTGAAAAAATGCAAGTAGAAAAATAGGGACCATCTTGGTGGGAAGGTAACAGCGTTCTGTGTGTCTTTGGCATTTAGTCATGCCAGCCACATGACTACGGAGACGTCTTTGGACAGCGCTGGCTCTCCGGCTTTATAACGGAGATGAGCACTGCCCCCTAGAGTCGGGAACGACTAGCATGTATGTGCAAGGAGAACCTTTACATTTACCTTTCTATCTTGTTTCATTATTGGGAAAGAAACTATGGTGAGAAAAATATAATTCCCAGTAAGATGTAGTATCAACACCCAATCACCTTCCATTGATTCTACCATTAAATAGATTTGGAACTAAACCAAATTAGACGTTTCACTTCCCTCAAAAACGTAGGTCAGAGAAATGGACAGAAACAAATGTGATTCTTGAAGGAGAAAAGCATGGTGGGCAACTTCAAGAAGATATGCAGTTCATTTATTTCATTACATTTTTTTTATGATTGCCCATTCCAAAAGAATATTCCGGCAACTCAAGGGTTCTCCTGATTATAGCTCATCCAAGAAGCTTCTTCAGAGCTGAAGAAGCTTGTTGGAGGAGAAGCAAAATGTCTTCAAAGAAAAACCAGAAAGTCCAGTTGCCTCTTGAAAAAGCACCTTTGAGGCAACCATGACCTGGATGACTGAGAATCTCCATGGACATTATAGCTTGTAGTTCCATTTTGACTTCTTTGTGTGTGTTCTTCTCTTCCTCAGTCCACTCCCTTGACTTGAAGGAAGCAACTGTTAGTGGCCAAGTGGGAAAATTAAAGGCCAGGCCTCTGAAAATCTTGTCTGCTGGAAACGAGAGAGAGCAAGTGGAAAAAAATATTTCAAAAGCGAAGGAACAGACTTTTGAGAAGCTGCTGCCTGATTCAGAAGAAAGTGCTAAGGGGACTAATCAGGCGTATGCTCCAATCAACACAGATTAAATAATTTAAACCAAAATAACCCAAGGGGACTGGTCTGCCCCACTTGCAGGCAGATGGGTCTGCAGTGGACCCCATCAGCTATGGAATTCCATGTGGCTGGATCAAGAAGTCTCTTTCATTGTGATCCCCATCCTGTGGAACATTCTACCACTGGGGATGAGAAGTGTTGCACCTTCTGGCTTTCCAGAAGGGAATTATAACCGGGGTTTTGCCAGTTGGCTTAAGTGCCCAGGGAAGCAGTATCCCCTGTTGGATGGGGTAAGAAAATCTCATCCCTGTGGCATCAGTCTCCTTGTTTTAGTTTCTTATGTATTTCTTCTTTTGAATTGTTCTCATACTCATCTTGTTAATGTTTTATGCCTTTTTTTAAAAATAATGTCTATCAGTCTCCCACGGTCCTGATTGGTAACATGGGCAGAATATAAATTTAATAAATAAATAAGTAGAATAAAATAAGCCAGTATAAATGTGGATTTGGGCTGTCCCAGGAAAACAGAGCTAGATTTAAAGGAAAGGTTTCCCTTTCTCTTACTTTACAAAGTTGGTAGAAAAAAAAATCTCTACATTTGCAAAGAGGTGGGTAATATTTAAGTCAATTGAAGTCATAGGGTCTTGCCTTCTATCAGGTTGTGCTCTCAGTCAACAGCGTATTTAAAAGAATAAAATTAATTACTTTCAAATATCAACATTTATATCCGATTCTTTAATCATAACCCTCGATACTCTTAGATAAATTGAAACGAATTTGCTTCCTTGTCCTAATGACACCAGTTAAAAACTTGCCACTCCTAGAACAATTGGATTCCAAGGAAGAACATTTAACATAAAATTGATTAGATGATCCAGGAACGAATATTCCCAAATAACTGAGAAGTATCTGTCCCATTGCTTCTATGAAATGATTGTTAGAAACCAACAGGCTCTAAGTATTTAGATGGCCCCTATAAAGGAAGAATATAGATAGAACAGAATAGAATTCTTTATTGGCCAAGTGTGATTGGACTTTGTCTCCGGTGCATAAGCTCTCAGCTTATTCATAAAGCAACAAGTGATAAATCATCAACATATTCATAAAATATAATCATTATGGATCATAAGATACAACACTCAATGACAGTTGTAGGATGCTATATAAAAGCAATCCACCGAAATCGTAACAGGATTACAAAGTAAAAACAATCAATCGTAAGATACAAACAACTTAGTTATGGTCATAGGATGCTAAAGGAATAGGGATTAGGAAAGATGAAAAAGATAATAGTGATACAGTCCTACTACATGGTTTGATAACCCATCTTGAAAAGAAATGGCAAAGTAGCCTCTGTTGTGACAAGAAATTAAACATAACTTATCCCTACTTAAAAAAAAAACACTTTTGATTTTACATACCTAGTCTGTCTTCCTTTCTGCCCCATCCATGCATCTGGTGAACTGCAACTCATGAACACGTTCATTTAATAAAATGTGTTAGTTAAAAATTGCTGGATTCTTAAACCTTTGATTACTTGAAAACTTCCAAGAAAGTCTCAATAATACTCTTGGCACCCCAGAATCCTAAGGCAAACCAAAGATCATTTTCTGAGTCTTATTTTAATAGACGGATTAAAATTTATTTTCTGTAACAGAGCACCTAATTTGAAAAAAAATGGGAAAAATTCCTACCAAGCAGCCTTCTTTAACACTTTCGCTTTCTAAACCTTTCCATATCTTACCAGGTGTTTCCAGAATGAAGGAACTAAACCAACAACTCCCAGCCTGGCCCATGGTGAACCTGCTTGAGAAAAGTGTAAAGAGAGATTTATTTGGCTTGTGGGTGTGTGAACTATGTGGGGAAGAAAGGGGTCATCTAGAGGTTGTGTTGATAGAGGAAAATCAGTCCTTTTCCTGGGGAATGTGTTCTTCCTTAGCAGCTACAAAAAAAAGCCAGGAAACATTTTCATTACCAAATCTTACAATTCAGTGGCAGAAGAGATCCTGAGAAATTTGATTTATCCATGATGGGCAATGGAATCTGGATTGGCAAGTTAATGGGTAGATTTATGTGTCATCCTAAAACCATCGTTTATCTGTGGTTTAGTAAACTGTACTTGGCCAGATTTGCAAAACAAAAACCCCCAGAAAATCTACTGATTGTATTTACACAACCCGTTTCCCCTTACTTATTTTAAAAGTGGTTAACTGGCCCAGTTTTGTGAATTTACATAGCGACCCGTAACATTTTCACACAGCATGCCAAGGAAATATAGGAAAGGCTGACTGACATTTAATAGAATCTGCAACACAGATATTAATCTGTTTCTGAGCGCCTATCCTACAATTTTACCCCTTATCACTGGTTGCTAAAAAAATAAAAGGCAGCAATAGAATTTTAGACAACACAGCTTAACTGCAACATTTAATAGGGAATAAAAGGTGTTGTATATGCATAATGATTTGTTGAAGTTCGTGATTTTGCGAATCGGGTGAACTATACCAACACTTGCAGGATATTGTAAGTAAAGCATAATTGATCAGTATGGTGTATTCTGTTATTCCACTTCTGCCACAGAGAACTTTGTACCTTAATGTGATGTCTAAATGAGAGGGAAATCACCATTTTTGTTCCATGAAATATGGCAATTTCTAACCAAGACTGTCTATTTGTGCTGTCTCAACTACGGATCTTGAAATGTGAATGTAGCCTATTGTGAGTGGGAAAAAAAATCTCTCTTTTCTATTCCTATACTAGGAAGTGACCGAATGCTTCTCCAATATTGCCTTTAATATCCAAGATGCGGAAATTTATGGTGTCTAGAACACTTCTAGAAATTCCTAAGCAGCCAGCAGATAATAATGAGAAATTCTGGGACCTATAGTTCAGCAATGTTATCTGTGTGTATATGCACGTACGTGTGCTAAATGACAGGCTCTTCACCTCTTCTGCTTCAGTTCTTTGATTTGCAATAAACTGCAGAGAATTGTCTGAGAAACATCACTGACATCTTCAGTTTACTCAAGGGTTAATGCATGATGTGTATACCTTCCCACCTGGGCCTATTCATTTCCCTTTCACATTTGCTTAAGGGACACTTAACCTGCAACTGCCTTTGCTTATAGTGCAACCAGACAAAGGGGAGGAGGGCTTTCCTTCCCTTGGATCTGGGTGTTCAGGAGGGACTTCCCACCCATAAACAGAGCGCATTGATTTACCACCAAAACGCCATTTATTTTGGTTTACTCAGCTGGAGGGGAATAAAGGTCCTTATCTTGATACGGCCCCAGCTGGGCCCTAAAGGCAGCTTTCTGCCAGCTAACACTGCAAACAAGGCCCCGCCAGGAGAAAATCTCTCTCTCTCTCTCTCTCCCCCACCGGGTCAGAGGGGCTATCCTTGGGGCCAAGTGGAGTTGAAAGAGCCATTAAATAAAGCTGTGTCCAACCTACTGTCTTCAGATATCTTGGAGATCTAATTCCTGGGTGACTGGCAATTTAGCAAATGTAGGTCCTGGAGCATTCTAAAAAAATGGCCTTATTTTATTTCTATTCCTATTTTGTGTGTGTGTGTGTGTGTGTGTGTGTGTGTGTGTGTGTGTGTGTATGGAGTGTATGTGCATGTACGCTTTCTGGTCCTACAGACTTTGGGGAATCTGAGTTTTATCTGACAAATCTACACTTATTTCAAATTATTGAGCTACTTGAGATCAACATCTGATCCCTGCAGCCATATAGTATTTTTGGCAGCATTACCGAACTGATCTGTAAGAGAACACAAGGCCCATCCATCTCACAAGGGAGAATTACTAGTACAAATAAGTTATAGTAGTAAGATGAATCAGTAATATAAAAATTATGTATTATTTTTATTAAAGTATGACATTCTCATTTACTGTATGTAGAAAGTACATCTTTAAATTATACACAATGGTAATTTAGCAAAACAGTAGGGAATTTAAGCTTCCGCATTAAAACAAAATAAAAATTTACTAACAGAATAAAATGGGATGAGAAATATAAAATTAACTTGTACATGATTACTATTTATTATGTATAAATCCCACTCAATGCTCCAAGTGTAGCTTTAAAAGAAAGTAAAATATCAAGGTACATTTGAAATAAAACTTCATTTTTTGCCCCAAATCTCCCAATGTTCATTGGTGATTTTGTCTTGTCTAAAAGCCCTGATTATTTATATGTGCATATATTTCTAAATATATGCATATAAATCTCAATATAAAACCTTATTCCATGTTTTTGTGAAGTTATATAGAACAATGACATTTGTAGATCATATGACACCACATTACCCAAACATTTTCTCTATTTTTCATAAGGGAAACTCTATAGCATGTTCTTGCTATTATAATTTCACTCTCGATTCTTTTGCTTTCAGCGTTTGAGTTACAAGATCAATTTTCTCTTTTAGTAAAGCACCTTCTTTAATATCTGGGTGAGCTTGAGTATTTTTCATCAAGAAATGTGTCAGAAAAAGCTTCAAGCCTTCATGTAGCATCCCCATCTTGGGATTGTCAGCCAACCTGGAAAATAAGAAAACCATGTTTTAGACGGTTTGCATTTTCTTTTAGACAACGATAAGGCATCATAGTAGCTAAGGTACAGGGATAGACTGTGAGTTCAAGTCCTGCCTCAGCCATGAAAGCCAGCTGGGTGACTTTGGGGCAGACACTCTCGCTCTCTCAGCCCAACCCACCTCACAGGGTGAGGAAAACAGGAGGAAGAAGGTGTGTTGGATATGTGTGCTGCCTTGAGTTATTTGTAAAAATAATAAAGGTGGGATATACATAAATAAATATATATAATAATAAAAAGCAATAAGCTAGTGCTAGATTCACAGTGCTAGGCTCATTTAGTGATCGTTCAGAGTTGCAACAGTATTGAAAAAATGGACTTATAACTGTTTTTCACACTTATGACTGTTGTAGCTTCCCCATGGTCACATAATCAAAATTCAGATGCTTCAACTGGTTCATATTTATGACCATGGCAGTTTCTCCCAAGATTGTGCGATCACCTTTTGCGGACTTTGTCGGACAAAGTCAGTGGGGAAGCCAGAGACACTTAACAACTGTTACTAACAACTGCTGTAATTCACTTTAACTGGAGCAAGAAAGGTTGTTAAATGGGGCAAAATCCAATTAAAAAAATGTCTCATTTAACAACAGAAATTTTGGGCTCAACTGTGGTCATAAGCCGAAGACTACTTGTATCAGATGAACAAGATTTATACAGGCAGTCCTTGGTCTGGGGTCAGAATTTCCTTTTTTTTTTTTGGCCACAATTGTTAAGTCAATCATCATCAGTCATTAAGCAAATCTGGCTACCCCCCCCCCCCCCCCCCCCCCCGACTTGTAATGGTTTTAAATCTGAAGACATAAGTCATAAGGCTTTTTCTTTCGGTGCCAGTGTAGTTTTGCACAGTTGCCATGGTGGCACAGTGGTTAGAGTGCAGTACTGCAGGCTACCTCTGCTGCCTGCTGCCTGCATTCCATTTGGCAGTTCAATGCTCACCAGGCTCAAGGTTGACTCAGCCTTCCATCCTTCCGAGGTGAGTAAAATGAGGACCCAGATTGTTGGGGGCAATAGGCTGACTCTGCAAACCGCTTAGAGAGGGCTAGAACACACTGTGAAGCGGTATATAAGTCTAAGTGCTCTTGCCATTACCAAGCAGAAGAGGCTACCTGTGTCACTAATTTTATGGCTTGGTTGGTTAAGCTACTCAATACTTCCATCTGGGCTCAGCAGAAGTACTGAGATGCTGTGTAAACATTTGCTGCAAGGTGCACCAGGACTATTAATTTAAAAGCAAACTAACAAACAAATTCCCTTTTCTAATTATAAAAATGGCCCAGAACTCCTACTCAAGAAGACTTACTTTTCAAACATATGGTTGAGAACTTCTTGTTCCGTTTCTAGGAATAATGCAGACAACACCTGTCGCAGAAAGTTAACTTTTGGCTTATCTAAGTCACTGAATTCAATCACCTAATTCAAAAGAAAGGGAAGATCAGATCAAAGCAAATCCTCTCATTAGGCCTGTTTGTGCTTCAAAAATGATCTGGATGACAGCTTTGCCCGACGACAAGGCCTCTCTGCTGGTGTCTAAATCGGCCTGATTCCCCCGAGGCTCAGCAAAGACAGTGCTGTGCTTGCACGAGGGCCAAAACATTATTTCAAAATTCATTTTTAAAGTGTGCATACTCCCACTGTCAACTTACCACATATTTTTCAAAATACTATCACTTAGTGTGATATACTGAACATCTACTGTACATTAATGGAAAAGAAAAGTCAGCAGTATTTCCCTAAGATGGCTTCAATTGCTTGAACTTATAGCAAGAGTTTAATGTCCAATCATGACAGCCATTTACTTAAACCTTAAAGTTATTACACCCTATTAGTCAGTGCAGTTAGTCCTTGACTTATGACCACAAATGGGACTGGAATCTCAGTTGTTGAGAAAAGCGGTCTTTAAGCAAGATATCACTGTGACTGCTTTGCTCGTTGACCACAATCCTGGAACTCCTGACTGCGGTTCTTAAATGAAGATCTCACTCATTATTTATTGATAAAATCTGTAGACAACCCATTTTATCTTAAGGTAAACTATGGGCGGCTTTCAATCATAAAGAATAAAAACTAAATAATCTAAAAACGTAAATAAGTTAATATGAAATCCAAACATGGAGACTCAATTAAAAGACGGGGAGGACAAGGAGCGAGGGAGGGAGGGAGGTGAGATCTGTTGTTAATCGATTGATCACCTCCACTGGGACGCTCTCCCATTGGAGCTCCAAGCTAACTGGCAGAGGCAGCTCTCTAGGCTCTTACGGAAGGCCAGGAGGGTTGTTCCATAGGGCAGGAGCAACAAAAGAGCAGGCCCATCTACTATTAGCTGGGATAACCAGGTTGTTAATGAAAAGAGTCCTATGTGAGGTGAAAAGCTCAGTGGGGTGGGGGAGACTGTAGGAGGCCTGGTGTCAACTAAAAAGATGATTGATACGATGATCTGGACTGTAATAGACTTATTTTACACGGTCGATCCCACCACGGTCATATCCTGTGGTCATAGGGGGCCAAACCCATTATGAGGTGCAGCGAATTCTCGATTCGAGGTGGTACAGGAGACAACTTCAATATTTAATCAAGTGGAAGGGCTACCTTTTATCAGAGGCACCTTGGGTAAAGAGTAGGAACGCCCAAGCTGATCGCCTTGTGACAAGGTTCCATGCAGAAAACCCAACCAAACCTGGGCGGAGGTTTTTTTGTTTCCCACAACCCTGAGTTCTATACCTGTAATAAATCTGTTTTCTTTTTGTGTTGTACAGGTCACCTTCAGGAAGCGAGGGGAGCCGAATGTCAACTAAAAAGATACTCCTTTGGTCTTTTTAGCTGCCAGAAAAAGGGAGTGGGGGAAAATAAGGCATTCCTTAAATGCCTAGATAATCACCCCAGCAGCTCAAAGTTGTCAGAGCATAACGTTATTGGAGAGCATGATGGATGACTCTTGGAGATGGATGTGTCCCATTGGAGAAGTCACATCCAGGGGCTGGGGTGGGGGGGAAGACCAGGGTCAAAGGGGAAATATATGATGTAATTTAGAACTGGCTGCACCCAGCTCAACTCCAACATGGCCACTTTTAATAAATCTATTTTCTTTTCTGAGATGCGGCTAGAGACTTATGATTTGAATGGGGGTGGATTTGTTGGAGCCCTGACATCTGGCACAAGCCCCACATGCCTCTTTACTCAGGGGAAAATCCTTCCTGACCAAATCCAAGCAGAGCTAGAAGGTGGCATGCGCCAGGCCTCCCAGGGCACCTGGCACCCTATGTCTTACCACAACCTCTCTGCTCTGGTACTGAAAATCCTTCTTTTGAAATCCAAGTACCCTAATCATTTACATGGTGTGATTCCTGAAAAGTGAGGGAATCTGCTAGAATAAGTTTGAAACAGAACCTGGAATAGTGCTTTACAGGCTATACGAAGCTCCCCCTTTTGAGTCTGTTGTAACTTTAAATGGTTATTAAGCAACTGGTCATAAGTTAAGGACTACATGCAAAATGAAAACTAGCACACACAAAAAAAGTATATGTTGATGTTTCTCCTTTGAGATTTAATGTGTCACATATTCTGCCTTGACAGGAGGAATTGCAAACAAAACCACACATGCGCTATGCATGAGCTTGACAGCTGGAAACATTTTTTTAAAAAATAACTTCATTTACCTTGAAGACAGTAAGAGAGAGCCATTTAGTCTTTAGCAGGTGAGTCACAAGTTTAACTAAGTTGGAGAAAGCAGTGGTGGACAGGCTTCCTAAATCTCTGATTTTGTCCCAAATACTGAACTGGAATGTGATCTAATTGACAAAATAAAAGCAGAAAGCATTATAACAAAACAGTGTTTCAACACGTCCCCTAAGAGCACATCTAGAAGGATGTGTTGGACTAAAAGACCTCCAAGGCTCCTTCAAACTCTGTTATTCTGTTATCTTCTATTTCACAGTTAAGCTGACATGCTGAAAGTTGCCGAAGATTGACAGCCACAGAAAGCAATCTTTTTTGAGGAAAGTCAAGTCCTTCCAGCCACCATGAGATCAATGAGCCGCCATTGTTTCCGAGTGCAAATCAAGGTGCTGATGATTATAGATAAAACCCTTCATGCACAGGGCCTGGACATGTGGAGGACTGCCTCTCTCCCAATTTTTGCAATAACATCTCACAGGTTTTGGGTGCTCCAAGTCCCATCAAGGAAAGAATGCCAGCTTATGGGACTCAGCAGGCATGCCTTCTCTCTTGATAGCCTGCCCCACGGAACAGTATCCCTTCTGAGGCTTCTATAGACCTGATCCAGTGGTGGGATTAAAAAAAATTGCTACTGGTTCTGTGTGCGTGGCTTGGTTGGTGTGGCAGGGGAAGGATACCGCAAAATCTCCGTTCCCTCCCCACCCCACTAACCTGCTTTCCAGCTCCATTCTTCTGTGCAGGACAACAAAAGAAGATCCAGCGAATCAGCTGAGACTCAATGGGAGGCAGAAAATAGATGGGGGCGGGGCCAGTCAGAGGTGGTATTTGCCGGTTCTCTGATCTACTCAACATTTCCGCTACCGGTTCTCCAGAACTGGTTAGAACCTGCTGGATACCACCTCTGACCTGATCCTGTCAGCTTTCAGGAGCTTAACACCTCAGCTGCCTCTGGTTTAGATTTATATGTAGTCCTGTCATGCACTAGCAATGGTGTTATACTGTAGATCTAATTTGGTCCTCCCAACATTTAAATGTTTTAAAGATGGGTTTTAATTATCTGCAAGCTACCCAGAATCACCAATAAGTGTCTGGATCTAAAAACCAAATAAATAAAACAAATGAATCACAGTACAGGAGAGATCTCTTCATTTCCAAGCGCTTTTCCTTCTTGCCAAAACTACCTACTATAATATCAGGAGACAGCTATTTTTTTTAGAGGAGAAAGGATTCAGCTACATCGGGGGGACGAAATCGGCTTTGTAGCGCTCCCGAGTCTCAAATTTTACTCTGTTTTTCAGAAGGCTGAAACAGAGGTGAGAACACAACCTGGCCTTTGGTCTTTTCTTCCTTTAAAATATATTTAAGATTGAGAAGAGAGTTGAGATTTGGGGTGAAGGGGAAGACAGAACCCTTCTAAAATTAGTCTGAAACCTCCAGCTGAAGAGATGCTGAGCTCTTCTGCACACAAAGTATTGTGCAGCTCAGCTCTGTTGCCTTTTCACATCAGGGTCTCCTTTTGGACAGGGGGTGATTTACAGTCAAGTGTAAGCATTTAATGCTTTTCTTTGCTTCCACAAACTCATGGCCTAAAATAAGTATCTTTCGAAGCCATAGGTTTATTATTTGATAATATCCTTTTTATTCTCAGAATGTCAACTGTGTAACTGGCAAAAAAATAAAACAAGCTTTGCACTCACCTGAAATCGCTTTTCGTATTCACAGAACTTGGCGGATAAATATGCGTAGAAGGGATTGTAAGTCTTCTCTTGCAGGCAACAATCTAGGAGGATATGGGCTATCTCTCTCTCCTGTTGGTCTTTAAGCTTAAGCCTAATGAATAAATTGTCATAATGAAAATCCTGTTTTCTAAACTTTTTATACCAAAACATTCTAAAGGTACTTTTGCCAGCCTAAGAACTATTATGATCAGTCCCTTCTAGGACAATTTAGATCAGAGGTCTCCAAGCTTGGCAACTTTGAGGCTTGTGGACTTCAATTCTGGGAATTGAAGTCCACAAGTCTTAAAGTTGGCAAGTTTGGAGAGCCCTGGTTTAGATCAATCTAGTATAGTGTTCATCACACTTGGCAACTTTTAAGATGTGTAGCTTTTAGTTCTCAGAATTTCTCAACTAGTATTTAGAGAATTCTGGTAACTGAAGCCTGCAGATTTTAAAGTTAAAGTCCACACATCTTAAAGTCGCCTAGTTTGAAAACCCCCAACTTATCACTCATCTGTGAAATATTTCTATTTTATTCTTCTCTATTTGGATAATTTTTGATGTGTTGGATTTCATCTTCCATCAGGAAGTCCTCCAATTGAGGAAGGTTTTTGTATATATGCTTAAAAATGTATTTCTGAAGTTTGTCTAGAAATGGGTGCAAAGTTCATAATATTTTAATTGAAGAAAGAATGTAACGGTTATAGGAAAAAGTCCAACTTGCATTCATATTTAAATACCCTGGCAATCAAAAGAACTGAAAAAAAAGCTCCCTTTAATTTCCTGATTAACAATAATCTCTCTGAATACAGAAAAAAAAGAAGTTACTAGTGGCAGTTATCAAGGAGAAACTACCTTCCAAGTTTTTCTAATTCCTAATTGAGGGTGTTAGGAAACTCAATCCAACTAATGATATAAATATAATCAGCATTAATGAGACCTCACTGGCTGCCTCAGCAAAAAGTCTGGCAGGAATGAATCATATTTCTTCTTGAGATGGACCACAAAAGAAAATCAGGAAAAATTGGCAGGACAGAGTCTTAACTTGGGCAGTACCTGTTCTGTCCAAAGAAGCCTGATTTAGCCTTCCTGTCAAAGACTTGGCAATACTAAAATCAATTAAAATGAAAAATGCTTCATACTACAATGCAGAGTGTAAGATGCAGAAATACTTGCATCATTTAATTATTTTTTACTGCAATGAACTACCAGATTCTTTCATTGGAACATAAGTGCTTCACTTTATACTAAGCTATGTTTCAGTTAGATCAACTAAGCAAAACTTGCAATTTAGAACAAATAATGCCATAGAAAATTCCCTGGGAGAATGTCAGCCAAAAAGATCAAAGAAATGCAATTAACTTCTAAAGATGCTGAAAGTATATAGAAATAGATTCATAATCGTGCCAAAAATCTCAATATATAAATATATATGCAGCTAGTATTTTATGTCTTTTATTGCTAAACTAAATATTACCAAAGCTATTTGGTCAGTGGCTTAAGTTATCTGTAGCTGAAGACTCAATTTCTTTATACACCAGATAGTTCATAGTTTTTACACAATAACATGTATAACAATACTTTTGCCTCTTAATCTGTAGAATCCCTAGGCACATTTGTGTATATTTCTTAACCATAAGCAAGTCCTCACATATGAATATCAAAATTGGCCTAGTTGACCTAAAGAGAGTTTAGCTTAGCTGTTCTCAGGAGAAAACTCAGATTTCAGTCTTGCCTAAGCTTGGAGCTAATCTGTTGTTAGTGATCGCTTCTTGATCTCTTATTCTGTTTCTTTGCCTCAAGCAGAAGAAATCCTCTTTTTTCTATCTCTTGCAGCCACTATGGTGATAGATTTTGTTCGTGTTTCTGTAAATATCTTCAATTGCCCTGATAAGTACAGACTTACTTCAAAAGTTTTTCAAAGGCATCCAAAAAATCTTCACTTGTCATCAAGATGCAAAATATATTTCTTCTGATATCAGTATTCATTCTTTGCTTACAAGCGAGTTTCAGAATTTTTGAGTTTACCTGAAGGGTTAAGAAGGAAATATTATGTAAATTATTAACATTTTAGTTTTTAAAATCATGTCTTCAATGCTTTAGGCAAATAAAGAGCAGAAACAAATTTAACAGTGAGGCTGATGTAGTATTAGCTTCTCTCAAGTGATGTATTATGTAGTAAAGTAGGTCTAGACAGGAGTTTTTGAAAAGTTTTTGTATGCTGGTAATGGTGTTTCTAGCCAGATTTATTTACTTATTTGTAAAATTTATATGGCTGTCTAAATCATAGTGAGAGTTTACATATATTTAATTGTATAATTATTGCAGATTATTGTTGACTATTGTGTGGTCACTGAATAATAAGTCCAGCTACTTGCTGTTCAGCATTTAGATTTGAAAGGAAAGCTAATAGGAAGACTGAAAAAAAAAAGTGGTGGGCATTAAAAATAGGAAGACTCTACTCATTCTTCCAACTAGGTAAGAATGCAGTATTTTGTACTTCAGTCACCACTGAAAACAATTTGAAACATATCAATTTCCAAGGAACCCTACCACCATCATATTCCTTCATGTCAATTAAAAAAAAAACCTTAGTAGAAGAAAAACAGCATAATGTGTTGAGAAACTATTTAAACTGTACTACTAGAAAAATATTAGGGTACCATTACCTTTCCCACAGGTAGTATTTGTTCAGTTTTGTTGTTTGTGCTGTCAATCATCGGAGCACCACTCCAAGAGGACCCAACAATCCACCAACGACCAACCTGATCAGCTCTGAGGAGAGATTCCAATGACACACGAAGTTGAGATTCTTTTCCGGAACTACTATTGTGTGTCTGTAGGGGAAAAAAAGTGTGTTTATAGCAACCCTTTTCTTTTCTTAAAAATATATTTATATTGCAAGATTGGTCAGTATGATTACTGTTCATCTTTCCCATATTCAGATGAAACCAAAAGTTCAAGATCGTATTTTATTTGACCCTGGGATATTTTTAAATAAATAACAGAGGTATCAGTCAATTCAGTTCCTGCAAACTTAATTCTATTTTGCTACAGCTTTATATTAATAGTTTCAAAATCTTCATTATATTAGCAGATCTTAATGTTTAAATCCTATTAAAAATACCATACAGATTTTTAAAAAGGAACAAATATTTATTCTGTTTTACCAATGTTCTCAGTAGTTTTCGTAATTTTTCAGTGGGTTCTGGGTCATAACCAGGAATTTTCCTCATGTCATTGTTTTTTAGCGCCGACATAATCTCCAGCATAAAGCAAACCTTTGAAAAATATAACAGTCCTGCATTATTATTTAAAACATGATTCTTTTTCAATACAGATATGAAAAAGAAACTGCAGCTAAGCCACTATTTCATACTGAACTCCACAACGCATGTTAAAACTTTCCCAATAAAATAAAACATTTCGCTGAGTTTCTTCTCCAGCCAATATTAATTTGTTAATTTTAAAAAGTACTATTTAGTAGGGGATTTACATCTGTAAAAAATATACCATTCCTGGGGTGAGTTCAGTTCCTGATGACTGCACGGAAGTTAACATTTTACAGGGTTTGGATGGATGTTTTTTATTACTCAGAACATGCTTAAGCTTAGGCTTTTTTTTTTTACTGTATAATCACTAAGGATTATTATTTTTAAGTAAGTCAATGTCTTTTTGATGCAGTCTTCAAATAAAAAAAAAACTAACAACACTGCTCTACTTTAGCAAATCTATTGGCAAAAGGCCTGAAATTACAAAAATGTTGTATTTGAAAAGCTAAGTATTTACAATAAGATTTTATGATATTTTACACTTCCACCCACATCATACAAATAAGGTCATCCATGTTATCACCATCTGTGCTACTAAAAGGAGAAATGTGATCTCCAATTTCTGTCTACTTTCTGAAAGAAGATGACTTCATCTTGCTACTACTGGTCTCCCTACAGACTTTGATGACAAAGAGGCACAGTTTAATGTTTAATCACAGATAGGAAATAAACCTCTTCATGTGGTGTCTCAGGAAGTACAAACTATAAATGCATGAAACTTCTGCCAAATTCTCCTCTTAATAAGAATGATTTAAAATAGTATTCCTTAACCTTGGCAACTTTAAGATATGTGGATGTCAACCTCCAGAATTCCCAGCCAGCAAATTGGCTGGAGAATTCTGGGAATTGAAGTCCATATAACTTAAGAGCTGCTAAGGCTGAAGAAATACTGTTCTAAGAACTTGTTTTTTAAAAATTCATTCATACCCTTGACTGGTCCTGGAATTGTTTCCCCATTGCATTTGCTTTTTTCTGGACCTCATTGATAAGTTCCCTTAGTCCTAGGGCATCTTCCTTCCTCAAGGAAAAGCCCACGTTCTTCAGCAGCACCAAGATCAGTTCAATGTCCTTTCCAGAAAAAGTGCTAACAAGCTTCTTTAAGATGTCAAAGATCAGCACTGAATGAACTACATAAAAATTATATAAATTAGCAATTAAAACCAGCAAGTTCTCGCATTCTTTCCCTTCGGCTTCGCTTTTGTAGATGTCATCAAATTTCCTCACCACAGTTTCCAGAAAATGAGCACCAACCTGGAATAGATTTACATACATGCAAATATAAAAAAGACAGTTAAAGCATTGACTGGTTATGTCTTTATTTTGAAAACTAAAACCTAGTAATATACATAACTAGCGTTGTGGCCATAAATTGCTAACCAGAAAAGGGCATTATCTTCAGCTTTGTAAAATTTATTAAAAATTATAGTGCTAATTACGATGTATATCAATAATGGAGAATATTTGTAGCTCAGGGTTGAAATGAAGGGGCCTTTTTTGCTCTCCGAATTTGGTGTTTTCTTGCAGGCTTTTATTACTCAAATTAGGTAACATCACCAGTGTCGCCATCTACTCTATTCAAATTTTTAGGATTTGCATAGATATGTTATTAAATATCGCACTACTCTATCACTGCATAATTAAGTCTATGTTTTTTAACTTGGAATGCCTAACAAATATTGATGAAAGTGGGCACAACACAACTCTCACCACAAATGTTTTTTTTTAAATATATATAAGACTATCAGAGAGGTAAGAGTACACATATATACAAAAAGCTCTTTAAATTAAACTTCTCTCACTATATATCTGCCACTGGAGCAGTTAAAAATATAGTCAAATGGTGGAATATCATTTTGTTAGATCAATATTGGGAATACAATCTTAGAAATTAGTGTCAAAGCTGTTCTGATGAGTAAATTATTGCTAACATAATATAATAAAGGCTAAGGCTAGGAATTACAGAAATAGGAAAAAGTGATTTTTCTATCAATATGAAAAATCTTCACCGTTTCATGGTAACATTTGCTGCTTCAATAATTATTTCTTGTAAGCATTTTTTCTTCTACATTCTGCCATTCTACTAACAGTTACATTTGAACGAGACTTTAATGTTTCAAAACAGGTACCAAGGTATTATAAAATTACTGGAACATAATTAGTGCCCAATAATGAATTTTACAGGTAGTCCTCAACTTACTATCATTCGTTTAGTGTCTGTTCAAAGTTACAACGGAACAGAAATAAGAGACTTAGGATCATTTTTTATGCTTACAAACATAGCAGCATTCCCATGGCCATGTGATTAAAATTCAGATGCTTGGCAACTGGATCATATTTATGATTATTGCAGTGTCCTGGGGTTATGTGATCACTCTTTGTAACTTTTTGATAAGCAAAGTAAATGGGGAAACCAAATTCACTTAACAACCTGTTACTAACTTAACAACTGCAACATTTGACAACTATGGCAAGAAAAGTCATAAAAATGGAGCAAAACTTGCTTAACAATTATCTTGTTTGGGGTCAACTTGATCGTAAGTCATGGAGTACCTATACTACATTCCCAATTTGTGTGTGACAAAGAACTATGAAGAAAAGTTACCTCGATTCCCACAGTCTGATGAAGAACACCAACCAAAAGAACATGCTCCAACAGGAGTCGGGATGGCACTGCTGATTCCATAACACAAGCACCAATAAGAATATCTGTTAATGTTTCATTCATATCTTTTCTACTGTTTGTCATATACAGTTCTTCCAACTGCCCACTGATGGAGGCTAGATTTGATTCACTCAACCTAGTAGGAAGCAATCACATAAGCAAGAGTAAAATTGAAACCTGCATTTTCATATTACCATTAGCAGCCCTATTAAATACTTCCTGGAGAAATTTGCATCCTTTTGGAGGGTCGTTGAAGCACTTGGAGGTTTATCTGTGTCCTCAGGGTCACCTGAGTTGTGCTCCTGGTTCCTGAGTCTGCAATTTTTCTTCTGGAAATCCATTCTTACTCTCACACCATTCAAAGGGTGTTCATACCATTGAACAGTATGGGAGTAGGAATGGATTTCCACAGGAAAAAATCCAAGACTACAGGAACCATTAGCACTACTCAGGTGACCCTGAGGACACAGATAAACCTCCAAGTGCTTCAATGACCCTCCAAAAGGATGCAAATTACCAGCTGTCTGCAAGGAATATAGATCCTTCCATTCCCCAGCATCCTGTCAGAGCTGAAGAATGAGAAGTGAAACATCTTCAAAGAAAAAACAAGTTGCCTCCTGAAAAAGCACCTTTGGGATAACCATGACCTGGATGACTGAGAATTTGTACAGACTTCCTGGAGAAAGTTTATCTATATAGTTGCTAAGAATCACCTCTGACTTGAAGGCACTTAATCAATCAAAGTACATAAGCATACATTGCATGGCATTGCTGCAAATTAGACTTAAGGATATTGCTAAGTTTATATTCTTTCATGCTTTTAATTTATTTGGATTATTTCTTCTTATTTTTTCTTTGCTTAGCATTGCTTTTACCACTCTGTAAAAGAAATAGCAATGATAGGCACAGTATATATCTATGTATCTATCTCTCCTTAAGAGGTTTCACTCTGCTATTTAAATCATTTAATACGGTGCAAATTCTTCCATCAGGAAAAAGTGAAATGAAAAAATATAGGATGTGGAATACCTGGCTTGATAATGCAACTTATGAAACTTGCATTAATAAAAGTAATGTGCTCATACACTCCCTTGGTTACTGTGTTAAGCTATGAGGCACTATATAGGTAGTCTTCGACTTACAACCAACAATTAAATCTAAAATTGCTGTTGCTAAGTGAGACATTTGTTAAGTGAGTTTTGTCCCATTTTATGACCTTTCTTGCCACAGTTAATAAGTGAATCACTACAGTTGTTAAATTAGTAGTACGTTTGTTAAGTGAATTTGGCTTCCCCGTTGACTTTGCTTGTCAGGTTGCAAAAGATGACCATATGACCCCGGAACAATGCAACTGTCATAAATACAAATCAGTTGCCAGGTGTCTAGATTTTGATCACATGACTACAGGAATGCTATAATAGTTGTAAGTGTGAAAAAACAGTCATAAGTCCTTTTTTCAGTGTCATTGTAACTTCAAATAGTCACTAAACAAATTGTTGTAAATCGACGACTACACATACTGTTTTAGATACATAAATAGATTTATATTCATAAAAAAACAGTGAAGATGATCAAGAGGTTTGAAACCAAGTTTTATCAAGAGAGATTGGAGAACCTGAGAAAGTTTTGCTTATAGTAAGAAAAGATGAGGATAGGCTAACCACTTCCAAACTCATACAGAAGGCATTCAAGATATTAGTCTTAAAGGAAGGTTCTGGTTGAACATTAGGAGAAAAATATTTTGAACTGTAAGAGAAACTTGAAAGAGAAGCAGTTACCTAGAAAGATGGTTAGTAGGATGTCTTAAAGCAAAAGGTAGAGAGTGTTCGGATTTATTTTGGATTTTTGTCCTGACTAGGAAATTGGATTCTATGGATCTTTACAACTCTGTGATTTTAAGCCAGCTCTGATGAGCTAAAGAAGGAGCAAAAACAAATCAAAGTTGTGCAAATGAGATGGAATCTCTATTCTTTCATAGAGTATGGAAATTAGCACAATTTCAGTCTTACCTATTAATCAGACCTTTCACTGTTTTCTTTAGTCTTTCCAATTCTTCTTTCTTTTTGGAATCTACTGGCTCTTCGGAAATTCGCATTTGAGGAGGAACATGCTTTACAGCAACTTGGTTAGGATTCTATATAAAAAAGACAAACTTGTTTTATTAAACAAATTAATTATTAGCGATGAAAATGCATCTTTCTTGTATATTATCAGCAATGAGAATGTTAGTGCACAAACCACTCTTCCGCCATAACTGATATCATGACAAAACCTGGACCTCGAACTAACAAAGGCAACCATGAGAAATGCACCTCTCACAATGTGTGTGACTAAACAGGTAGTTGGGCCACTGACTCCAACTGGACTCCTTGTCCATTTTACTCAAGAGTTATTTAGTTTATTATTGATTCTGCCTTTTTAAAAATATATACCTCAAGGCAGGAAAAGGACCTAACACTCCCATCCTGTATCTTGCCCTCATAACTTCTCTGTAAGATAAATTGGGCTGAGTGTGTGCGTCTGATTCTAAGTCACCCAGCTGCTTTCATGTCTAAAGGAGGACTAAAACTCTCCTGGTTTTAGGGCCAGCCACACAATCACTGCACTAAACTGGCTCTCTGCTTGGCCATTTGGGGGGCTTTCAACAGCCACTGCACCACTTCACCTCAGGCCTCCTCCATGCTTGGCAGGTCTGTTTTTCAACCGCGGCAACATTAAGATCTGCGGGTTTGAACACCGAGAATCCCCCAGCCAGCCCAGTAGCCTCTTGGCTGGACTCCCCTTCTTCGCTTTCGCTTCCTTCCTCTGGGCTGAAATCCCCGGAGCTTCCGTCCTCAACCGGGCTCAGGCCTTCTTCTTCTTCTTCTTCTTCTTCTTCACTCCCGCTTCCTTCACCTTCTCCCGCCAGGCCATTGTCGTAGAGGCCCGAGAAAGCGGCCTCGGACTTCAGCGCTCCCAGCACGTAATCCAGCCCGTCCCGAGAGAAGCTTTGGGGCAAGGAGGATGAGGATGATGCCGCCGCCGCTTCCCCCTCCTGACCGCCTCCCCCTCGCTGCTTCTTGCGGCGCTTGTGGAGCCCCAATTGCCGCTCCAGGCGGCGGATCTCCCGCTGCTCCGCCTCGTTGGCTGCCAGCAAGGCTCTTTTGCGAGTCGCGGCCGTAGCAGAGGGAGCTGACCGGGACTGCTGGGCCCGCGGCTGAAGCTCGGGTGGCGGTGGCGGTGGCGGCGGCAGCTTCTCCTCTTCCACTTCTTCTTCTTCTTCTTCTCGATCTTCTTCCAGCGGCGGCGGGATCCCCTTCCTAACGGGGCCTGCCCGTGATGGGAGCAGCCTCTTCGCTTCCCCGTTGACGATCTGGAGTCGCTTCCGCCGCCCTCGCTTCAGCTTGCGCTTCTCTCGCCTCATGTCCCGTCGACTCCGGCGGCCGTTCCAAGCCGGCTGCTGAAGGGCCCCGGAGGAGCCGCTGCCATCGCCGTCGCCCTCGGGCCCCGCCGCGGCCTCCACGAACCCCTTCACCGACAGCCCCAGTTTGTGCAACTTCCCGATCGGCGGCTGCTTCTTCGGCGGAGGCCGCCTCCGTCCGCCTCTCCTCCTACCGGACTGGCTGCTCTCAGCCGCCGAAGAGGAACAGATCTCCAGCTTCATAGCCCAGGCCGCAATCGCCCCCGTTACTTGTCACACGTCGCCGCGGCTCATGGGCGCTGCCATCTTGGGAGTGCCCCACGGGAGAGGCGGGGCTTAGGCCTCGTGAAAAGGCCAATTCGGCGCCTTCTCAATGAACGCTGGGAAATGTAGTTCGGAAGGCTTCGGGAGGGGCCTGAACTACAGGTTCACAACCTCTTCTTTGCTCATGGCATCTTCCTGAGCCTTATGTATCGTTGTGACTCCTCCCACTTTAGAAATAGACATAAAGGTCCTTTACAATCTGCTATAGAATAGAATAGAATAGAATAGAATTCTTTATTGGCCAAGTGTGACTGGACACACAAGGAATTTGTCTTGGTGCAAATGCTCTCAGTGTACATAACAAGAAAAGATACATTCGTCAAGAATCATGAGGTACAACACTTAATTATAGCCATAGGGTACAAAAAGCAATCAAATCATACTAGGAAACAGTCCATATAAATCATAAGGATACAAGCAACAAGGTTACAGTCATACAGTCACAAGTGGGAGGAGATGGGTGAAAGGAAGGATGGGAAGATTAATAGTAATAGTAGTGCAGACTTTGTAAATAGTTGGACAGTGTTAAGGGAATCATTTGTTTAGCAGAGATGTCGTTTTTGAGGAAAAACTGTCCTTGTGTCTAGTTGTTCTGGTGTGCAGTGCTCTATAGTGTCGTTTTGAGGGAAGGAGTTGAAACAGTTTTTGTCCGGGATGTGAGGGGTCTATAAATATTTTCACAGCCCTCTTTTTGACTCGTGCAGTATATGGATCCTCGATGGAAGACAGGTGGATAGTAATTGTTTTTTCTGCAGTCCTAATTATCCTCTGAAGTCTGTGTCTGTCCTGTTGGGTTGCAGAACCAAACCAGACAGTTATAGCGGTGCAGATGATATTGATGTATCTAAAATAATGTTTCTCATCCTTGGAGACTTTTAAGATGCATGAACTTTAACACTCAGAATTCCCCAGCCAGCATGACTGACCGGCCAAAACTATATCATATAAAGATTAGGGAGCTGAAGTCCATATAGCTTAAAAGTCTCCAAGGTTGACAAACCCTGGTCTAAACTACTGTATTAAAAACTAGAAAAGTGGAATGCTCCCCTTGAGAACCCCTGAAATACACTAATTCCTTAGGCATATGCTCCCAATAATCTTTAGGGATTAGAAATTTAGCCATGGAGGCTGCCAGCCAGTCAAGCATGTGAACTTCAACGGGTTCCTATCATCTAAGAGTTCAGACAGAGGCACCAAGAGCATCAGCATTTAGTATAAGATTCCAAGACGTCCTTAATTTTTTGCCATTTATTTGTTTAAACATTTATATTGTTGTCCCCAAAATACAATTTTCCCCCTTCCTCCTACTTCATAATACAAGGAATGTTTTGGTCTCAGGCACTCCTAGGTCTCCTGTGGCCTCTAAAGTTATGGTGAGAAGTTATATGGAATCCCTGAGTTGTTCAGCACCTGAACTGTTCTGTATAGCTCAGTGCAGAAGATTTATTTAGTAATCAAACATCCACACTGTCCATCTCACTATTTAAGTGACTCTGATCAGTTTTACACAGACAAGCCATAAAACCCATATGAAGATAGACAAATTTAAAAAGATAAAGTTAAGCTAAGATGGAGAGAGCATCTTCAAACCACCAATCACCTCCAGGGTTACTTACCACTATCGAATTCCCATGCTAGTTGACAGACTCAAGTTTTAACACTCTGTTCCAGGAATCCAAGTTGAAATGATAACTGTGACAGCAATCCTAAAATTATTCAGAAATTACTAAAATAACAGTTTGGTTAAAATCAATAGTAGACTCAAGTGATGGAGCCAGGGGTGGGATCTGAGCGGTGTAACTATCGGTTCAGTGATTTTACATTTTTCGTGCATGTGTTTATTGTCATCACCTAGCTGCCTGGACAGCTGAGCAGCGCGGGTGCAAAGCAGTTGAAAAAGCACTTTTTTCCTGCTTTTTCAACCGCGACTTTTTCAACCAGAGCTTTTTCAATGTGTCGCGCAAAGCAGCTGCAGTTGAAAAGGCAGGAAATAAAGGTCAGGTAAGAGCCCTGGTGGGCGGGTGGGCTAAAACAGCAGCAGACATAGAACCAGTTCTATGTATGCTCTCTGTTTGCTGCTCTTCAGAGCAACTGGTTCTACAGAGGCAGATAGAACTGGTAGAATCCCACCCTTGGATGGAGCCCATCTCCAAAGATAGGAGTTATTTACTGGGAGAGGTAGAGATTCTGCTTTGCTCTACACTTCCTTAGCAAAGTTCTGCATCCAGTATTCTTTGTGGTTAAGTCGTGGCAGCTGTATAATCAATTAATCAATCAATCAACCCTTGTTCGGCATAGGCCAGCATAGCAACTGTGTAATTAATGGGCCCCATTCAAAAGGTTCTTAAAGTTGTGCAACCGTTTCAAAATTTTTTCCTGTTGCCGTTGCACTTAGGCCAAATCTCCAGGTTGAAGATTTCCATATTTTGTAAAAATAGGCTAGTTGTTACTCAATGGGGAGTTTCAGAAAAGATCTCTTAAATTTGTAAACTATTTTCTGCCTTCTGTAAGAGGCAGCCATAGAGGAAAGAAAAGCCGCTCCTACTGTGACAGATTGGAAAATCTCTGTAATTTTGAAGCTTATAAATTGTAGGAGCTCCACAGAGAGAGAGAGAGAGAGAGAGAGAGAGAGAGAGAGAGAGAGAGAGAGAGAGAGAGAGAGAGAGAGAGGAACGGAGTTGTAATAAGGGAAAAAGTCTAATTAATTCAGGTATTTGGGGAGCCCATGGGATTGGCCCATCCCACTTACCCCAGGATAAGAGGCTATGGACTCCGGTCTATCCAGTAACTTGGGCTGGAGGGGTCCAGGAAAAGAACCTTTGAGATATTGTCTGCACTAGGGACGGCTGATGGAGTCAAGAGAAAACCCTAACCTGATGCTTCCTGTCCTCTTCATTTTTAGTTTCTATTTAATACCTGTCAATTTTGTTTACATATTTACCTTTTTATCGATGCCCAGAATGACTTCCATGAGATTGACAGCATATACATTTAATAAATAAATAAATAATATGCAGAGCTATTGAAACATTCCAGAGCTCAGCTCCTTGGTGATCAAGGTATCAGTGGTGTGATTCAACAGGTGCAACAACCAGTTTAGTGAGTGCATATTTGGCTCAGTGGCTAAGACGCTGAGCTTGTCGATCAGAAAGGTCGGCAGTTTGACAGTTCGAATCCCTAGCGCCATGTAATGGAGTGAGCTCCTGTTACTTGTCTCAGCTTCTGCCAATCTAGCAGTTCCAAAGCATGTAAAAAAATGGAAGTAGAAAAATAGGGACCACTTTGGTGGGAAGGTAACAGCGTTCCGTGCGCCTTCAGCATTTAGTCATGCCAGCCACATGACCATGGAGATGTCTTTGGACAGCGCTGGCTCTTTGGCTTGTAACGGAGATGATTGCCGCCCCCTAGAGCTGGAAACAACTAGCACATATGTGCAAGGGGAATCTTTAACTTTACCTTTTACTTACCTTCTACTGCAGCCCCTGGGAGTAAAACAGCTGAGGTGTGGCAAACTACTCTGCTGTGCAAATCAGCTGTGCTAAAAAAACTAGGAAATAAAGCGCAGGAAAGAGAGGGATGGGTGGGCAGGGCCAAATGTTCACTGGAACTACCGGTTCTCCCAAACCAGTCTGAACTGGTAGAATCCCACCTCTGCAAGATATCAAATTAAGCCCTAACGTTTGCACTGCAACAACACAAATCATGTAAACTGGCTTTATGGGGCTTTGCAATCTCATATGCTTGAGCTCTCTAGAGAGGCTGGGAGGATAACTAAGTTTCTTTCCTTTCTTGCTCTGATTTTGACCTCCAAGATAATGGCCTAAAGGTAAAATGGAAACAGAATCCTGTCTAGCCAGCTTTCAGTCATCAGGCTGATAATTGCCAACAAGGTTCTAATTGCCAGTTGTCTTATTTGCATCTACGATAGTCCTGAGCCCCGAGTGGACGCAGTGTTCTTGGGCTTATGTCCCAAAGCTGTCATTTCTTGTCCTTCTGAACACTGAATGTTTGTATCCTGCTCTGGCTGCAAAACTTTAATAACTCATTAATTTTTAGAAGATGGTTTGTTAGCATCCGTGCCTTTCTCCTTTTTCAGTCATTACATCATGTATCTGAGGTGGCAGGCACACTGAACAAATAGCTTTTCAGTTCCAAGACCAAATCCTTTATACCTAATGAATATTTCTCATTTATTGGCACAAAAGGTTCTGCTGATCTTTCAAAGTATTCAGACATCGCATTTATAACTTTTTTTTTAAAAGAGCACTTTCCCTCATACAGAATTCCTTACACCTATATGGAAGCCGCCATCCCAGGAAAATACGCAGCTATTTTGGAGAGTTACATATGGTGCGGTTTGCTACTTTCCTTGCTATACGTTTTAGGGATTTGAATCCGGAGCACTACCTTGCATTTGCTAGGTTGGCAGGAGCTGTGACAAAAATGGGAGCTCGTACCATCGCATGGTGCTTGGGTCTCGAATCTAGGCTGCTAGCTTTCCATCACTGAGCCACTCTGCCATCCTAGTCGGTAACAGCTGAATAAAATCTGCAGGGACTACCTTTAATTTGCTTGGCATTTTAAAAGATTTATGATACCCATTGTTTGTGTATCAGCTTCAAATTAATTTCTGATCACCCAAGAGGATCGGGCAGAGTGGGTGTGCATTGGGTGCCATTCAGAGATAGTATTCAGCAGGTTCTGACCAGTTCTGGAGAACCGGTAGTGGAAATTTTGAGTAGTTCAGAGAACTGGCAATTACCACTTCTGACTGGCCCCGCCCCATCTATTCTCTGCCTCCTGAATCCCAGCTGATGGGCTGAATCTTCTTTGGTTGCCCTGCACAAGAGAACGGAGCTGGAAAGCAGATTTAGTGGGGTGGGGTGGAAATGGGGATTTTGCAGTAACCTTCCCCTGCCACGCCTACCAAGCCACACCACACCCACCAAGCCACGCACACAAAACCGGTAGTAAACAATTTTGAATCCCACCACTGGTGCCATTAAT